TCATGTCAATTATAAAATTAAAAATTTTTTGTTATTAATTTTTTACGTATTTCAATCAAATTAACTGTGAGCTTAATATTTTAGTATAAAATAATAAATTATTAAAAAATGTTGAGTTATTTATAACCTCGTTTAAGCAATAATAATAATAATAATAATAATAATAATAATAATAATAGGGTTAACATTTTAACATTTAGTTAGTCTGCAAATGTTTTTTCTCAAAATTTTCACGATAAAGTTCGCGGTACACATTAATAAGTCGGTATTATTTTGGAAAATATTATTAACATTTTACTTTAATAATTATCTGATACTCTTTATCTATAATTAACAGCAATCAGATCTTTTAAATAAAGAAGTAAAAATTTTTGAATTCCATTGTGGTAATTGAGTCTTTCCCAATAAATAATGTTGTATAAAATATAATAAAGTTTTTATTAGAGATGTAATTATGACGTATTGAATGAAAAATATAATAATCCGATTGAATGATTCATCTAAAACGTGATATTCAGATGTGACACAGAGCCTTATAAAGTTCAAGGCTTGGGTAATCGATTCATCATTAAATTATTGTGGTAAATGTGCCTGTAATGTGGTATTTGTATTATATTGACTATTGTATTGTCAAATTTTCCTACAAGGTAATATAATACAAGACATTTTAGGTAACCATAAGAGTAATATATATTTCAGAAATAGAATTTAGTGGTAAGGTCGAAAAACCGCAACTTAAATACTTGCGTTGTATCATTGGTTTCAAGATACTATAACAGATGTGTACGCGTTCGAAGGCACGAATAACGTAACGATAACGTAACTAACAAGATACGTCGAGTTTAACGTTAGAAGGTGTGTCCGTGTTACGAGGGTAGCGTCTCTGATGGATCAATACGATGTAGTGCAAACCCATATTCTTCTTTGATCCATTTTATTTGTTAAACTTGTATTAAGGCTACTTTTCTTCTTTTATTATTCTATGTATACTAATATTAATGCTCAAATATGTATGCAGTCGTATATTTTTATTTCACTGACCTTTTTTTTTTCTACTCATATATGTACTTTACGTTTATCATTGTAAAAATGACAAGACTCCTAGGGATTTGAGACAAATATCTTCAAACTTTCATATGTGTTAGGATAATAATTTAAAAATAATGTGAAGAACAGTATTAATCATAATAAGCTACACATTTTTGTACAGTATTCTTAAATTATTATTTTTACTTCGTCTCAATAGTACTGATAATTACTCTAATGTAATTAATTCTCATAAAATATTCCGTACAGGAACTAAAGTGAATTTCATTGAAGTAATGTTGTTTTTAATAATATAAAACACTAAAAATCAGCTAATTAAAAAAAAAATACTACTCCCAAATCTTATACCAATTACACTTAATAAAAGACAATAGAATTAGTACGACTCAAAAACAATTCTGAATAAATTACAAAAATTTTATTCCCCAAGAAACTGACAAATTATCCATTTTCGCGAGTATTTTCTTCTTTATATTATCATTATAAGTCATAATTTATGACTAAATGAGAATTCTTGATAATTTGATATTACTAATTAATGTAAAGTAGAAAATAAACTTTCTAACAATGTCAATTTAACGTGAGATAAAAGATTGAAACGCAAAATTGTGAACGCTACTTTAAATTAAATAAAATTAGTATAAACTCTATTAACATAACAATTAACAAATTTTTAGCAATTGAAAAATTTTCTTTGATAGTTGTATAAATTTAGAAGTTAAAAATATGAATCCTGGAAAAAATAGACCCGGAATTTTATTGAAATTCATAAGAAAAAATGGAGCGATTAAATAATAAAAAAATAATATGAATTATCCATAACTTTAAAATTTTTTCCGATTAGCAAAAATATATTTACATGAGTGTTCATTTAAAAAAATATAAATTTTTCAGCAATAATATTTTAAATTCCAATAATTATTGAAATGATTAAATGTATTTGATCGTTGCTAACACAGTTCTGCTTAGTTAGCTGATTCTTGTAGAATAACTTCAATTTTTGAAATTAAACATTAAAGTAATTAATAGTTGAATCAAATAATTTAAAAATCGTTATAGTGGAAAATTGAGTTAAATGTCAATAAATATAGAGTAATGAGAAAATGAATCATTAATATTTTATTAATAAGAAACTGTCTGACTATCTAATTGTTCGTACTACTCGACTAGACTACTACTCTCGATAGGCTCTCACACTTAGCTGAGTAGTCCTCATTAGATCTAGTGCACGAAGGTTTCTCACACATGCTTACGTAGCAAATAAGTACATATTAGTGAGTTTGACAAGCCGTTAAAGTGAAACAATTTACCTCAGATAGTACTTTTGAACAAATTAAACGAGTCATCGATATTCATTACTGGAAGTCTGAGTGCGAAAGCTCGCTAACAGATGACCAACTTAACTCGTCAATATTCATACGCGTCCTTGTGATTTGTCATTGACGGTGTATAGACTTCTACTAAACCTAGATATACTCTCAATAGATGTATTGATGAATCATGAATAAATAAATCTTTTCCAAACGTTACAGGTGTTCTTTTTTTTTGTTTTAGTCAAATTAAAAATTCAACGACTGTATTGGAACATCGTTATCGACTTACTGATAAATTTCAACCTTCATTAAATGTTCTATTACTTTGATAAAAATGTAATTAAAGTGAAGAGTGAAGAAAAAGTAAAAGCAATAGATGTTTTAATTAGTTGAATGAGTTTTCAGTTTTTCTTTTGATGAAAACAATAAAGAAGATATGTGTTTTTGAAATATTAATATAAAAAAAGTTTACTCACGTTTTCCTCAACAGTTTTCTTGATTTTTGCACTTGCTTCAACTACTGTTTTTCCGGCTTTATTAACAGCACTGTAGAGAAATCCACCAAGACTCTTAGCTCCGGCCAAGGCTTTCGTTGAAACTAAAGAAATATATAAATATAAATATGATAAATTTTTAAACTTTTATTAATTCTTCAAAAGAACAGAGAAAATTTGTTGAAATAATCTAAATAAAAATTAATTCTAATAATAGCCGGGGGTTTCCATATCTCAGTCATTTAGTGTGAGGTCGAGGTGAGATTATCCCAGGTTGGCCTAGAATTGACTGTACTTTTATGGACTTTGGCTCGGTAGCCACTAATATATCTACCAACCAGTCTAGTAGCAGACGCAATAAACGGAGCTTTTCATGGTATGGTACGCCGTGCAATCTCCTTTGTTCGTTTCCTCTAATTTCATTCAAAAGACGTACAACTTTATAGTTAATGACGGCAATCTACATATATATTTTATCAAGTTGAAGAAATAATTTTAAATGTTTATTATTTATAGATCAAAAATAAAAAAAAAAAATTGGATTAACAATTAATCTTTCTAAAAGGTTAAACAACAAGGTCACCTTCAAAAAGCTGTTGCGTTCTAGACGATGGCAATTTAATCTTCTCAGAATCAAGTGAGTTTTCTAAAGGCCAGGTTGACGAGTGTCGCATCGTTCGAACCAACATTATTGATGTTTTTTTTTTTTTATTTAAGTGTAAAGTATTGCAATTTTAAATAAAGTACCAAGTTAAAAAATGTTTATCTTACGTAGAAAAACAAACATATAAATAAAATAAAAATTCTAACATTTAAAATGAAAAAAAATTAAGTTGGTAGTCACGAAGAATAAACAACAACTAATCTTTTATAGGAAATCGAGAAAAATCACATTTAATAGGATTTAAATTATTATTTAACACTATCCGTTGATTTTACCAATAGCTGTTGTCAATGTCAGTGTGTTCTTAAAGAAAACAGATAACAGAGGGTCGGTTAGCAAGAGCAATAAAGAGAATGAGTGGGTAAGTGAGAAAGATTGAGTACGAGAGAGAAAGAGAAAGAGAGAGAGAGAGAGAGAGAATGAGAGAGAACGTCGAGTGTCGTGTATTGATCGGGGTGAAATGGACCAACCGCCCCAGGACGCGAATGACTGTAGCTCGTTGTCGACTGAATCCGTTTATAGTTCAGAAAATTCAAGAATCTCTCCAGTCGGTATTTTCATTTATCTACACCCACATTTATGTATACATACACGTGAATTACACAAATACTTAAAATATTTGGAGCCGCCAAGTCTACTGCAGAGATATGCTTGTGGCCAATCAGTTCTCGCTCATACGCCAAAAGTTTTTTCAGATTAAAGTATTTATGTTTTTTTTTTCTTTTAGTTTTAAATTTCAAAATAACTACACAATTTTGTCGATGAATATCCGTCATTTAATCTGGATCCTTAAAATCCGCTTTGAGTCTATGTTTTTTTAGAGAATTTTTAGCTAACTTGGTATTTTTTTTTATGTTCTCCACCCTTTCATTTAAAATCGATTTTTCATTCTAGAATCCCTAAGAGATTCACGTGGATTTGTTCAGGATAAATTAGTACGACTCTTGGGATATTTTTCCTAGATCTCTGTATGTTAACCTGATTTTTTATTATTCGACTTTTTTTTACTGCTTACTGAGAACTTTTTTCGGTGAATAATAAATCAAATGACCTTTTTTATACTCATAGTATGGGGAGTTTAAAAAAAAAAAAAAAAAAACGATGACGTGATTTTTACATTATTACAAGGCACGTGAATACTCAAGGGATATCATGTTTTTGACCTTAATAAAATCATGGATACATGATGAGAAGCATTGGGTGTAATAGTATATGTTGGAAAATGTTTAATCTAGATTCCAATAGCACAAAGTTATAGATCACAAGTGCTTTCAATTAAATTTTCTAAATTCTCTTTCTCTCTCTCTCTCTTTCGCTTTGGTAAAATACACTATTTTGTGGCTAGCTTATGAACATTCATAAGCACCAATAATGAAAATTCACCCGCTAGATGTATTATATATTTTGTGAAGCTATATTATGGATCCATAGCCATCAATTTATAGAGACTATATAGGCATTTACTACATATACACAAGCTGTTCAGTAGCAGGTTTGTGATTGAGAGTACGTAATCATCTGCACGTCCTCGAACCGATAAGTTTTCAAATTGAATCCTGAAAAAAAAGGCTACTAATTTATTTAGTTATTTTTATTTTTTATTACTTTTCTTTTCATAGTAATATTCAACTATTCTAAATATAATTTGTAAATTATTAATAAAAATGTGTTTTATGCTTTTTGAAACAAATATAAAATAAAATTTATTTATGGGTAGGAAAATGTGGTTAAAATTTAAAGTTAAATGAAAACGACAGCTCCTTAAAAATGAGGCTAGATTATTCTTATGACTTTTTTTTGAAAATAGCCTTTTATAATAAAATTTAAAGAAAATCAAATCACGTAGCGTGCTGCACGTGACGTTACTTATATCGATAAAAGAAAAGTAAAGAAATTTTACCATTGCCATATTTGTCTTATCTTAACAATAAAGAAGTACATATTTTTTATTATTCAATAAAATTTATTACTTTAGTTTAGTTTAAGATGTGGAAATTTTTTTTAAGGAATAAAAAAACACTTCTTGAAGAGAGTCCCTTAAGGACATCCGATATGAATCTAGATCTCGAATATTGTGTGCGCAATTACAGAGAATAGAAAGATAGATGACAGAGATATCTGTACAATCGACACGCTTCTAAAGCGATTGGATTGAGTATACAATAGGTTTAAACCCTTTTGTTCTACAGTTAGAGATGTTGTACGTGCTTTAGTCCTTTAATTCATTCTACTTCAGTATACAGAATTTCTCATACCAAATCAACAACTTTTACAATTTTTTTTAAAATTATTTAAAATTTTTGATCTTTTTCGATATTCAATAAGAGAAACAAAACTCTCTTAAATTTTGTAAAATTAAAAAAAATATAACTTATCTTCAACTAAGCTTTACAAATGACAAATTTGCAAATGGCTGAATAATGACTGATAAATATTGAAACTCGGTTCTGATTTCTCCTAACAATATAACAAACAACAAAGCTTGTTAGGCGTGTTGTACGACATACACTTAACGAATGAGTCTCTCATCCTTGTTTAAATAGACAAAACGTTTCTCACCTTATAGTGTATTTCTTCATCACTTTTTCTTTTGTCACATATAAACAATAGTATTCGGTTGAAAAGGCCGAAAATCTAACTCTAAATGATTTGGGTAAAAACTAGTATCTTGAAGAACAAATCCAATATTCAGTGAGTGAAAAAAAATTACCTACACATTTTTTTAATTTCAATTAATCTAGTGAAACGCGTACATTTTGAATAGAACCTAAATTCTTTATAAGTTAACTATTTTAAGAGATAAAATTTCTGATTTTTATCGTTTCAATTCGCTAATATTATAGATTATTACTAGGTAATAGCTCTATGAAAAAAAAAGAGCTGTAAAGAATTTTATGTTGAATATAGTTTATAAAGCTTTTAATGTCCAATGATTAATGATTTTTCTTTAAAGGTGAAAATACTTACAAAAAATCAATTTGTAAAATTTATTTAATAAGTTTAATATTTAATCGAGTAAATTATTTTAATGATAATAATGTTATAGATTATTTAAAAAAAAAAAAATGTATTTTTTTATATGCAGATGTTACCTTCAACGGAGACAAAAATTATGATAATGTCATTAATATTTATAACTTACCAGCACCAAATGGTTGTTGACCATCCTTGTCTTCAGTAGGTGTACCTTCAAGACTAGCTGGTCCACTGTCAGCACCTCCAGTAGCACTGTTTTAATTAAAATTAAAATAGAAAAAAAAATTATATAAGTATTATTGTACTAATTTGTTGAGATATAAAAAATGTATGATATGCGGAAAACTAAAACTAGAATGGGAACGTGCCCAGTAGCTTGTAGTACAGAATCCACATACCCTGAGACCCACCTGCTTGCGTCATCATCTTTTACATGTTCAGACGATGGGCCTGGTGTAGTCTCCCTCGGTGCTTGATTTTCAGTAGCTTCTGCTGATGCAGGTTGAATTTCACCACCTTCAGCGGCTTCAGCAGCGCCACGACCTGATAATCCAGGGATTCCTCCACTCAACCATCCTGTCATTTGTGATTTCACTCCGGCGAGCATCTCCAATTTACTACCTTTTGTCGGGCTGAAATGTAATTTATAATTTTTTTATGCTTATTTATTTTATATTTTAAATAAGTGCTTTAAATTTTAAATAAAACTTTTTATCCGTTTGAGAGTTTACATGCTGGGTATTTAATAAATTTATTTATTTATTTAAAATATTATTTGAAAAACTATTTGAACTAATTTTTAATGGCTGATAAAAATAAATAATCGTATCAAGCATTTTCTACGTGCTTAAAATTAAATTTATTATTATTTGCTACAAGCTAAAATATTTTTAAGCTTTGTAATGCTAGTTGGTGATAACTTAATTATTTAAGTATTTATTTAGGTTGCATGGTGACTATAAAAGCGATATTTTATTTAATAGTTATTTAATATTTTGCCCAAGGTATTATCAGTGTTTATTTAATGACCTATATTTGGTACTAATAGTATAAAAAAAAAAGATTTAAATATTATATCATTAGTAAATAAAATAAAATTTTAAAATATTGTTAAACGCTTCTATTAAAGTACGACTAATTTTGGTAACGTGAAATTTTTTCATAATTAACATAATAAATCTATAAAGATAAAAATAAATATAAACTTTTCTAGCGTGTGAATAAATGTTTTATTCATATTATTATAAAAAGCAATGCAAAAGCGAATTGTGTAGTATATATGATATAAATATAAATTCGTGCGTTTGTGTTGCATTATTATAAACAAATAACTCCTGCAAAAACTTTGAATATTTTTTAAAAATTTATTCATCTGTTTGTCTATATAAAAATGAAAAAAAAAAATAAAAATTTTTTAAAATTACCTGATTGATAGCACAAAATAAAATGTAAACCTTTAACGTAAAATGTAAACTTTTAACGTTCGAATCTACGTACATAATATATCCTCTTTCTTATTTATTTAGAGCATTGAATTCAAGTTTTAAAGAAAAATAAGCATGCAGATTATTTATATATAAAAGTTGTCGTGAATATACCATATAAATGTGAATTTTTTAAGCTACATCACTGATTCTATATTTTAGTTTGTTTTCCTTAATGTAAAAGCCATTTTTTTTTTTAAATCTAATATTTTTATCAACTTATTTTTTAAAAACTCATTGATTATTTTTCTTTATCATAATATAATTTAAAAAATTAAGCTCGAAAGTATTTTTATTTAAAAAAAAAAAAAGTTGTTACTGATGCCATAAATTTAACTCCGGTGGATATTCATTCAATTATTTTTATTTTTACAAATTTTATGACAAAAGAAAAGGCTTTTGTATTAGATAATTATACCCTTGTCATTGTGAGATACGATAGGGGATGATTTAAGATAGCTCATGGTCTTTTTATCTGTAATTCAATCGACCAACCATGATCGCATTACGCACTATCGAAATCTTATTAATGTCAGTACTCGCATTTGATTATTGACCGCTTTTGGTACTCGCGAAAATTGCTAGTAACTTGTTACGTATTACATTATATTTATATGTGGAGTTTGCCTATTAATTTTTTAATAAAAATATTTTTTTTTTTAATTTTTTAGTTAGTAGAAAAAAAAAAGAGTAAAAGGTAAAAAACTCAAATCTTTACAAATATAAAGTGAAACACTATTGTTATTATCATTATAATTAAAATGGTTAAATTATTAACAATAATATTTGATACTGTTGATAAAATAGATGCATAGATAGTAATGTAAATATCGGGGATGAATTCATTGAGGTGTAGGATTATAATTCACACCTTGCAAGCCGAAGCTGGAATATTTTGTCCTTGGATCGATACAATGAGAGATGTCAATAAATTTTATAATTGATGACATTTATTTCTTAACAACAGTCATATTTTGTGATTAAGAATTTTTTTACTTTGATTAATTGATTAAAGATAAATTATAACAATACAATTTATGAAAATGAAGTTAACCGACATTTTAAAACTTTTAGAAATTTTTTATTGAAACAATTTCAATTTAACAATTAAAAAAAAAATGTCACATCTAAAAAACTTTAAAAACTAGAAGTACAATTTTTTAGAAATATCTTTTTAGTTGTAATTTATTTAATAAAAAAAATTAAAAATTTTTAGACGTCTGCTAACTTCAGTGTCATTACAATTTTGTAAATTACAAAATAATTCCTATTTTTTTTCTAACTGACGGAGGTACGGTGTAAAAAATATTCATCGACAGTTCTAAGTACGCTGATAACGTTCTAATTTACATCTAATTACGTGTAATCAACGTGGCGTAAACAAAAAGTTTAATTTGGAATTGAATTGAATAAATTGAGTATACGAAGCAGAATTTAATTGAAAAAGAGTAGTCGTTTTTTTTAATAGTGACCGTATGAATTAATTTTTTATCAAGTTTACAATTTTCATTTTATTTTGAGATAAATAAATTTACCTAATGAATTTTTGGAGGAATAAGTATAAATTATAACACAACAATACTGATAAAAATAACAATGAGTTAAGAAAACTTATAATAAATCGATTTCACAACTATTGTTAACCGTAGAGATGCTTTTACGTAACATCAGACTAGAGGGTTTCTTTTAAAGATTCTAGGCTCGTGTGCGACTCCCCTTTCATTTACAAAAAATCGATGATGAAAAACAATAAAAATTGTGATTTACTGGAAGATAAAAATATTCCAATCTAACATTTATTCATTGTTCTTGATTGCACGCAATAAATTTTCCACAATATTATCTTTTCTTTAATGGAAAAAATTTTTTTTTATGTCAAAAGAAGTTTGTAATTAATAACGTCTATTACTCTAATTGAAATCCTTGGTATGAATCAAACTGTTTGGAAATTCTGGTTATAAATAAATTTTGTCCAAAGTTTTTTTATAATATTCATTAAAGTAATCCTCCTTCTTCTGAACAAAAAAAAAAAAAGAAAAAATTATTTGATCAATTCCAGTAATAGAAAATTAATTAAATTCAAAGTTAAAAAGTCAAGGGTCATACATTAAAAAAATAATATAAGTAAAGTTGTTTTATAAAAAATTAATAAAAAAAAAACGTGTATTAAAATTTTTGAGTAAAAGCTTTTTGTATAAAAAAAAAATAATAAATGAAAATATAGTATAAAAAAAAAAATGTCGTAGTTTATCGATCGTGTTAAGGGAGAAAGACAAAGAGAGAAAAGAGAGGGCCGGGCCTGCTAAAAATCAAATACCTCTGTGACGAAGAATTTACTGTAAATGGCATATGAGACAGTTTTTTACACACAGTTGAAATTTTTTTACAAACGATAAAAGATCATATTTATAATTAAAATAATTGTTAACATAACTTATTAGTGTAAGTATCCGGACGACATCACGTACACGACTCCGGTCATGCATCGCATGACCATTATCATTAACAATATAAAATAACAGTTTTACATAAATCACGGGCGAATAATTTAAAAAAACAATTAGATTAAAAACAAATAGATAATTGTAAGAATTTGTCAAGTACCTGCTATCTTTTTTTTCAAGATCTTGATCACCTTCAAGAGTAGGTGATGAAGGCTTTTCTTCAGTTACTTCAGTACCGTCCTCACCCTTCTTTCCCATCCAAGTGGACACCTGATTTGTCAGGCCGGAAAACATTTTTTGTTTTTACTTTTTTAATTCGCGTAACTTGTTAACGTATTTTATTTTATTGTTTATTATTATTATTATTATTATAGCAAACAGCTTGCAGTTAAATGTCTTCCTTAAACTTTTTCACCGGATTTTTTTTTTACGTCTGTCAGCAGCTAGGAGATGAATTTATTTATCTGCTATTTCTCCTTTATTTCAATCTACTTATTAATTTTAATGTATCTTCTCCAAGTGTCACGTAACCTCTAACTAAATTCCGAATACGTGGGGTAAAGAACTCGGTGTGTCCTCGCGATTCCAGGCTCATCGACCATCATCGACTGCGTACATTGTGCTTGACATATCAGACCGCGCATGCGCTTTTTGTATAAAGAAATTTAACTGCGCGTTGACCGTGAAGTCGATGAGGGTACAGATGAGTGTACAGAGCACTCAGTATATTACTCTGTTGGTAACTCAAATTTTGTATTATCGATCTTTTCTTTTTGTTTGTAATATATTAAAACAATTCAATATTTTTTTTATTTATTTATTATTGTTATTAAATGTAAAAAAATAATTTAATTAAAAACTCACGGAATTAGAAATTAGACACTTTCTTTTACGCAAGCAAATTTTTATTTTAAAAGGATTTAATATAACGATTATGTGTGTGTCAGGTGGCTTATTACTTAAAATTTAATAATCTTAATTAATTTACTGTTGTGCGGTCCAATACATATTTAATAATTTTATTTATGAAAGAAATTAATGAGAAGTCTTTAGGATAAGCTATCAAGCGCATAATCTTCGTAAAAGTTTACACTTATTTATAAATTCATGTTACTAAAAAACATTTATAATGATTTTATAGTGGATACTTTAATAATTAAATTTCATTCTACGTTAAAAGTTTTCTATCAAGTTGAATGAACATTTTTAAACGTAAATTGCGAAAATGTAGAAGACATTTTTTTAACTTTTTAAATTTTAGAATAACTAATTAAAATGTTGACAAAAAAAATCAATATGGAAATTTTTGTTTGAAGAAATTTAATTAATTTGTTGAAAATTTTTAATAATACTAAAGTTAGATGAAAATTAATTTAGCAGATATTTAATAATTTTTTTGAAATTTTGTTAACAAATAAAAAAAAAAAATAGACATGTAGAAATTTTAAAAAATTAAAAATGCAATTTTTTTAAAAAAATTTTTTAGAATTAATTTAATTTTTAAATAAAATCAAAACTTGGTCAGGTGACAGCTAATTTTAATGTCATTAAAGTTAGCCGACATTTAAAATTTTTTAAAACTAAAAAATATTTTTAAAAAATTGCACTGATAGTTTTTCGAGTTTTTTACAAGTGAAATTTTGTATTTTCTTTTTTTTTTTTGTAATAATTTTTCAATAAAAAATTTCTAAAAGTTTTTAGATGTCGGCTAACTTTATTTCCATAATTTTTAACCATTTTTAATATTTTTGCAAATATTTTTTTCTAGTCCATTAAATTCATACTCATAAAAAGTAAAAAGTCAATCGTAACTAACTTTTTCATCAAATTGAAACAAATTTAGTGTCAAATAATTTAAGGTATTATAAATACTTGATTTTACGAGTCAGTTTAGAAGAAAAAAGAATAGTTGTTAATTTTTATATTATATAAATAAAAAATGAAGTGGAAAAAAAAAAACCAAAATATGTGCCAATAAAAATTAAATTATTTAATATTTCTTAATAAATCAATGATCAGATTAAAAAATTCATTTACTATGATGTGATTTTATCAGTCTGTTAAATGACGAAATAAATTTATTATCTGAAATAACTAGATTTTGATTTACTTTCAATGAAAATTTAAAAGAAAAATTAATTACAATTTATGTAAGAAAAATTAATAATTTTATAATGTATTTTCAAATCAAATCAAGTTGAATAAAAAATGTTATCTTGTCACATCGAAAATCTTCCGATGACTCAAATTACTTTTTTTAATTTGAGGTATTAAAAGTGTTTGAAGATAAAAAAAAACACAAATTATGTTAATTTGATTTAAAAAATGAGATTCATTATATAAAATAATAATATTTTGATTAATTAATAAATAAAAATAATAATAAGAGTTTAATTTACTTATTTAGTGGCAAAAAATAAAGAGCGCGAACTTTTAAATATACCGACCGAGTATTGGCGTTGAAATCTCATTCTTGCTACCTACTGATACATAACTCAACCGCTATAAATCTTTTCCTTTTCTAACTCGGCTGCAAAATGGTGAGTAGTGTGTTTTTCACCGTCATTAAATCCGTTCACATCTTGTTAAATATCAGTAAATCAATACTTATTTTACACAAATAATATTCGGTATAATTGAATCTTTACTTATACTCACTTATTTATTATTAAAATTTATAATTATAAAAAATAATAATTTGAGGTTACACTTGTTTACTCATTCCTAACCTTAAATAAAAAAATGAATTTTATTAGTATTTTATAAATGTTTTTAATAACTTTATAAAAAGTTCAATTAATAACTGAAATAATTTTTATTTGAATATTAATTAAAAATTTTTTCTAGGCTCGTGGGCCCAAGAAGCATCTCAAGCGTTTACATGCTCCGAAAGCATGGATGTTGGACAAGTTGGGTGGTGTTTTTGCACCACGACCATCAACTGGTCCCCACAAGCTCCGAGAATGTCTTCCTCTGGTTATTTTCCTACGTAACAGATTGAAGTATGCTTTAACAAACTCAGAAGTTACAAAAATCGTCATGCAGCGTTTGATTAAAATCGATAGCAAAGTTCGAACTGACATTAATTATCCAGCTGGTTTCATGGGTAAGTTTAAATTACTTATATTTTATTGGCTTTATCGAAGCTATGACTTTTTCTTAAATAAAATGTCGTGGTCAAAAGTAAGCCAATAGTAAAAAGCTCTTTTTTAGGTCACTGGCTAAGTTACTGTTATACTTTTTCAGTATCACCCAAAAAGAGTACAATTTAATTATAAATATTATTGTTACTAACTATTGATTAATTAATTTAAGATGTCATCACCATCGAAAAGACTGGTGAATACTTCAGATTGATCTACGACGTAAAGGGACGTTTTGCTGTCCACAGAATCACTGCTGAAGAAGCTAAATACAAATTATGTAAAGTACGCAAAGTACAAACTGGACCAAAGGGTATTCCTTTCATAGTAACACACGACGGTCGTACTATCCGTTACCCAGATCCAGTTATCAAGGTTAACGACACAATCCAGTTGGAAATTGCTACAAGTAAAATTCTCGACTCAATTCGTTTTGAACCTGGTAATCTCTGCATGATCACTGGAGGTAGAAATTTGGGACGTGTTGGTACGGTTGTAAATCGTGAACGTCATCCTGGATCATTTGATATCTGTCACATCAAAGATTCTCAAGGACACACTTTTGCTACACGGTAAATTAATATTTTAGTTGATTAAATTTTATTAAGAAGGTCCTTTCGCCATCAATGTTAGATAAAAAATATTAGATTGTGCATAAAATTAATTTTTATCTAATAGTTCAAGTCTTTATTTATCTACTAGTGAAGTTTAATTTATTCTTCACCGTGCAAATTTTTGAAAAGAAAATTTCTAAAAATGTTAGTATTTTTTCCGAGTCTTACTATAAAGTCAGACCTTAACAACTTTCTTGAATTATGGCTTTAACCACCGATTAGATGGGGTAAAAAAAAAAAACTCAAAATAAGGTTTTCGAAATATTCAGGTTTCATTTTTTGCAATAAAAGCGAGCTTCAGACCATTCAATAAATTCAAATTAAATTTTAAAGCACTTCTCTTTTTCACACATACTTATTAGTTAATTTATTGTTAACAAATTTTCATATTTCATTATTGAAAAATAAAACAATAATTAAAAAACACTAGCATTCCTGCCATGAGACATTAGAATGTTATGGTTTTATGACTAAACATTTTTAATTAATTTATTTATTTACGCTGACAGCAAAAACTTAAACATGGTTAAAGTTATATTTACAGTTATAAGAACAGCTGGTTTACAAGAGTCAAATTAATTTTTGTATTTAACTATTTTCTAAATTTCAACGATTGATGCCTCATATACTATTTATTTTTTAATTTTAGGAATTTTTATGGGTTTTTTTTTATTTTAATTTATCGAATATTGACTACTACAGTTTTTGTGACTCAACTGGAGCGAAATGACTTCCTTAAATTGCTTCTCATTTTTTTAATCATTTTTAGAATCATAAAATATATTAATTTATTTACTTTATTTTAGATTGAACAACGTCTTTATAATTGGCAAAGGTGCTAAGCCGTACGTGAGTTTACCCAGAGGCAAGGGAATCAAGCTTTCTATCGCCGAAGAACGTGATAAGAGACTCGCCGCTAAAGGCCTTAATTAAAGTGGCATATAATTCGTTGTTATCTTCAGATTTTACACTGTATAAAAACATTTGGAATCTTGATAACAAAATACATCTTTAAACGTATTAATGTTACTTATTTTTTTATTATTTTTCTTTTTTTTTTTTATCATTAAAGTGTTATTGTATAATTAAAAAAAATATGGAGTATATTAATTGCACAAAATTTGAGGAGTACAATAACTCAGTTCAGAAAATCATTTGTAGTTTTTTTATAATTGATTGGAATTGTTTTAAGTCACTACGACTTATCGAGTCGATCTTACTTTATCGCATTACTCAATTTTAATCATTAAAATTTTACATATCTGGAACAATCAAGGTAGTTGTCATGGTACAATATTGTCAAAAAATTAGAGATTATACGCCCCGCAAAAGTATATGAACTTGACGCTAAGTAATCCATAATTTTTACGCAAGACTGTACCCGTGGAGACGTAACGTATACAGTATTCATATATATAGATATAAACTAACATATACTTTTTCATAAATTGCTGAACTTTAATCCGTTATTTATAAATAATTAGACGGTCAAAAATTTTTTTTTATTTTTTTTTTAATGTTAATTATCCAATTTTTAATTGAATTCATCTTGGGTTATAGGTAATCAATCGACTTCAAATTTTAAGAGTAATTGTATCATCATGTCCTTAATAAGTATGCAAAAATTTAGAATTTTCTAACGCTAGGGTAGAAGTACAGTTTGTGGCCAGTGTACCTTTTTTGGCCACTTTATTTTCAAATTATTGTATAAATATTTCTATAAGTGCAATACTTTATGAATTCAATTCGTATAAATGTACTAATTTATAAGTTCTCTAAAATTTCTACTTAAATAGTTAAATTTTTTACAAATTAATTAAAATATCAAGTGGCCAAAACCGGTACACAGAAAAAAAAGGTTCACTTGAGCCAAGAAAACATTTTGCTTCCTAATTATTTTCTTGAGCGAAAAAAATATTTGTTTTTGACACAAGAAATTTCACTCATTCCAACAAAATTGCATTGAGAAAATTCAGCTTCCTACTCCAAAAAAATTAAGTTCTTGATAGAAGTAAATTTTCTTGTCATGAGAAAATTTTTCTCTTGCTCCAAAAAATTAAATATGAAGATAGAAGTAAATTTTTATTGATTAACATGTCAAATGGGAAGATCAAATAATATTGAATCATTTTTTTTCATTCAATATGTATAATTGCACGCTAAAATAATATAAAATGGGTATTATCAAATATTCAAGAGAAAAATTTTCTCAAGGTGAGAAAATTTTTTTCTCAGCTGAAGTAGGGGTGACGCTGTTTCCCTAAAGTATCTAAAAATCTTGATCAAATATAAAAATTTATTCTATCAAGTATTTATGATAATTTGAATTAAGAAAAAATTACTTCCACCAAGTATAGAATTTTAAAAAAAAATTTTTACTTCACCCGAAAATTTTTTTGAGCCAAGAATTTTCTTCTCCAGTCAAGAAATTTTTCTTTCTGTATACTTCTACCTTATATCTTAACTACGACAACTACCTTAAGATTCTCTCTTGGTATAATTATTTTTACTTTCTAAAAAACAAAGTATTTTTTCTTTCAATTTCAAAATAAATACTAAAAAGATGAGGGGATAAAGAAAAACAAAAATAGTTAATTAATAACATCTATTGAACATTTTTTTTTATTGTTTAACACAATTAAAAAAAAAATCAATCTATATTACAAGATAATTTGATTTTTTATTAATAATTATATTCTAAACAAAAATATCAACATCTAATCCATTTGAAACAATTATTAATTTATAAATGAATATTGAAACCTCAATTTCATTGATAACTAAAAAAATTGATTTTAAACTTTATTTGTATAGTAATACATTTGCTTACGATGAGAATAACAACATGCGCAATTTAATGCTGCATTACAAGCAATTACATTTGATTTAACATTTCATATTTAGCCTGGAATGGAATAGTATCTTTTTTAGGATCATATTTTTTCTTAGTCGCCAATTTAGCGCGTACTTCCTTGGCACTCATTTTAAGATTGAGGCTCTCTTTAGTCGTCGATACATCTCCGTTCCCCGTGGTAAAGTGTTCTGTTGCGTTGTTTCCAGTTTCATCGCTAATTGACTTATCATTATTGTAGATATCACTGCGACCATTTTCTTGTCCATTGTTATTGATTTTCTCCTTTGAATTACTGTCGTTGATCGATGTGGCCGTCATTGTAGCTGTGCTGCCACTATTTGACAATGTGTCGATTGAATTATTTGACTTGTGTGTATTCTAAAACAAAAAAAAAAAATTACATTACTATAAAAATAATAATTACAAGGTAGAAAATTAAATAAATTGTCAGATGTTTTAATTGGGATTTACAGTGTTGTCAAGAAAACTTACACAAACGCAAATAAAAAAATATGTATAAGTGATAAGCTTTGTAAATTATCGCAAGCCGTAATGTGAATTATAAGTCGAGGATTTCTCTTATCATTAATAGAATAAAAGAATCAGATACATTAATTTTTTACTATCATTAAGCGATATGTGTTTTATTTAAAAAATTTAATTATAATGAATCATCAGATTATGTGTAATAAATTAATTTAGACGTGAAAATAAAATTATTTTATGATTATCACATACGGAAAGTATTACAACTTACAAGTAATGAGTAAGAATAAAAAAAAAGATTAAATTACGAAGAAAATTATTAAGTTTGACGTACAATTCACGTGTTTATGACCTACATGATTGAACAAGAATAATAAAAAAATAAAAAAAAATGTAAAGATGAGTTGGATGCGTGTCGCGTACCAAGGCCGATCGTGTCTTGCAAACGCGCTACTTTTTTGCTATTGCTGTAATATCTATAGCATATGTTTTGGGAAAAAAAAAAAAAGTTATTTTTAGTTGTTTTACAAGACCTCATTTATCGTTCAGCATTTTTATTTGTTCCACTTAATCTACTTAATTATTAGTCAGTGGAATAAAAAGATAATAATTTTTTTTTTTTTTTATTCCTTTCGTGATAGTGACATTTAAGTGAGATCATTGTGTCCGGATCAATTAGTTATTGACCGTTAAACTCTAATTGTAATTAATAAATAGTTGTTAACTCTTTTAAAGTTTAAAGATTAATTGTAGTGTCAAATACCGGGGTTTAAAAAATATAAAGAAGCTATATGCCTTATAAATATTTTAATAAAATTATTTTTTTTCGTTTGACGATTATAATTACGATTAGACTTTTATTAGTCAGATAATTAAGCTAGTGATAATTGGTAGGAGTAAATAAAGGATAATCTAGTGTTAATATTTGTGTAGAGTAGATGCACACACATATAGTAGTAAAGATATTTGATATTTAATTTGATAGTGGTATTGTAGGTAAGAGTAGTGTTTAAGAATAAGAATTCCAATAAGTTGTTTTTAATGCAGTAAAACGGTGACAGGAGCGACACTAAACCGGTTTTCCACAGAGCACGGAACTTTACTCTCTGTGTCTGATAGTGAACACGTGGTTGTGATATATATCTTCTCATTATATTAATATTTAAGATATAACTTATTACAATCAATACTGTTAACCAATATAATACTTTATATCAATAAAACCCATTGGTGAAATATTCATTTCTAAGTATTTACAATAAAACTATCAGATAAATAAATGAATATATTTGTATCTGTACAGTAAAATGTAATGGTTGGTTGATTTTGATTGAAAACAGCTCAAGGATCATAAAATGTTGGGAAATAATCCAAAGAGAGACATTCTCAATGAGCATTCTAGGAAATCGAGTGTGCATCAAGACGTAACGGGCTTGATAAATTGAGTACATGATCAAACTAGGAGTATTTAGAGTAAAATCATAATTATTTTTTTTTTTTTAACGAATAAAATAATTTTAATTTTTTTTTTACGCATATTAGGAAGAAGAAAACGTTTTTTTTTTTCTATTTGATTCAACAGTTTTATTGAAAACGCAATGACCATTTCTTAAAGATTAAAATTATTGTTATTAACGATTATCGAAACGGTAGAGTGGTTCGCATTTATAACAATAATATGCTCACAATAACTCTTCAACTCAAAGTTTTTATTTTATTGCACAATACTTTTTCAAGGTAGTTGTTCTTACAAGCAATATGATGAGAAAATGGATGTTTTTTATAAATTTATACGAGTATGTTAATAAACTTGGATGCTTTTTTGTATTTGATCAAGAGATATGATGTTATTTAAAAAAGATGATTAATATATTACAGATAATGTCGATAAGAAAAAAATAAGAAAATTTGGAGAATAAAAAAAAATTTTAAGTATTTTTGAATATCAAATGAGATAAATAGCTTCCGGTACGGATGTTACTTCCAACTTCCGCTTAAAAATAAAACAATTGTATTGTAATGATAAACAAGACTCGAGGTTGAAATAATATTGATGTTCGAGATATAATAATTAATTTGACATGTAATTTTTGATGAAATAAATTTTATGTCTACGTTTACATTATCCTATTAACGTCCGAAATACAGTTAGTACATTTAATAATTTTTTATTGTTTTATAAGTGCTTCTTAATGTTTTTTTTTTTTTTTTTTTTTGATAATACTTTTTACTAACAAGGCTGTGTTTTGAAAAATAAAATTTAGTTTCAAAAAATAAAGTTTAATAATTTATTGATGTAAAAATTGTAAGGAGTCCACTGATTGAAAAATTAGCAATTTTATTAAATTGCAGATTAGATATTAGATTAGATACTGGTCAGTGTTTTACTAGAGCCAGACGAATTATTTTTCTCATTTTATATACGCACGGGTTATTTTTATTAATCGTCAAGATTCTTGTAGCTACAGATATACATAAATACATTTATGTGTCAAATATATATACGTGAAAGTAAATATGGAAAAAACACGATTGACATACAGGTACATTGACCCCGTAAAATTTATCACTAAAAAGAATTATCGTTCATATATTTTATCTGTATTAATAATTTAGCACACTACTTCTCGTTACTCTTACGTAATTCTAATGCATATTTTTATTTTTATTTTTATTTAGGTATGTATCTTTAAAAGATTAACATTTAAATAAAATCACAAGAAATTGCTTAAATAAAATATTAACAACAAGATTTTTCTACAAGTTAATTGTAACTATTTTTCTCTGAAATTATTTAATAAAAATAAAATAAATATCTACATGAATTTATCTACGCCTTTAAAAATGAAAAATCTAATCTTATCATTATTTCATTAATGAGCACTCTGAATTGAGGTAAAAAATTACAATCAAATTTTGAAATTAATTTTTAGCTTTTATGTACGTAGTATCTAGCGTATGCATTTATTTTTATTAAAAAAAATTTATTCCATGGAATAATTGAGTGAAAGTTTTTTTGAGTAAAATTATTATTAATCCCAATTTCGTCTGATTAGTTAAATCAACACAGATGTTTTAGTACCATCATATATTGTGTTCATTTTATGAATAATACTCAAATAAGGCAAGGCTATCATTTAAATATTCTTGAAAAAAAATAACGTTATTTTTGTTTAAAATTTATCGAGTCGATTATTGGAATTGTTTCGTCGACACTAAAAAAAAAAGTAATTAATTATTCTCGTCACTCGTATAATTAAATTTTCACATGAAAAATAAGAAACAACCAAGTATAGCAACACGGGTAGAATTCACATGAAGAACACTTAAATATATGAATCATTGTTACATCACGTGGCTTTTTTTATTCATTCAAGCGGTTGTAAAAAATTTAATAACTAAATTTCTGAATCATTTAAAATCTTTAAAAAGTACTAATCACAGTACCAAACGCTAATGAAAACTAAAAATAATTAAAATTAAGGAGATAAAAATATATCAATTATTGATAATAAGTTATTACCTAATCCATAGGACACAGTATTGCTTAAGTAATCGTTAAACACTTTGAAATATCGGTAATTACATAAATAGATAAATATACATTTAACATATTTTAAATATTTTTCAATATGACCTTGGAGTATTTCATTTTTTCTGTGGACAGGTATGCCGTCAGGACATTTGATTGCAGACGATACGTACATCGCTCAGTTAGAAAGTCATTGAAACAAATAGCTTTGGTGTATACATATATATATATATTTATTACTATGTACTATGTATGCATGTATATTGGTACATACATTTTTTACGACACACGTTTGTAATTATCAAATATAATCGACTTGCCTGCAATGCAGCCTGTGAATGCATTTTTTCATGCTAAAGATAAAAAAAAGTACTATATGTGTCACAAGTGTGTATACATACTGAGATGTAGAAAGTCACTTGCTCAAATGAAGGTGTTAAGTTTTTTTTTTTTAATCGTAATTAATATATGTTTCGCAAGTGTTCAAGAGGACGTAGACTCGATTTTTTTTCGTTCGTTTTTTCAGTTAGATCTTATTATTTATCACGCATTAATAAATTAAATTGTCGTAAGCAAATTATTAATAAATAAACAAGATTTTCATAATTGGAGTCAATATTTTTTTTTAAATTAATTACCTGTTTAATTATATGGAATTTTATGAGTAATTTTTAGTAAAATTTTTAATTAGATTTAAAAATATGATATTGAGTACAGTACACTGAGAAAAAAAAAATACTTTTATTAAGAAAATTTTCTTGATACAAAAATATATATTTTTGGCTCAAAAACTTGTTAAATTGATTGAAATAAATTTTACTTAATTTATATAAAGCTATTCTCTTGTTTATCTATTATTCAAAGATAATAAATATTGATACTCTTCTCTTGAGAAATTAATAATTAATAATAATAGAATATTTGATCGTCATCGAATTTCTTGAACCAAGAAATTGTTAATTGAGTAAAAGTATTTTTTTTTCTCAGTGTAGGCATCTGATAATTTTAACAAATATATTATTACTGAAAAAATTGATAATATGAATAAATTTAAAAAGATTTTATTAAAAAATTAATGAGTATGAAATTAATAAACATCTTACGTTTAATAATTGTTAAATAAATTGCACAACAAGTTTTTAAAAATTTTAAATTGTCATTTTTGTAATAATTAAATTATTGGTAATTTTTCTAAAAAGTCTCAATAGTCGGCCATAAAAATTGTAAGGCACCTACTAATTTCAGTGATACAATTCTTCTAATGTATTATTGGAAGAAAAGTCAGCTTGTTATGAGTAATTAATTTTTTTCTCAATTAATCATTAACGAACAATCTTAAGTTCGCCGCAATAAATGTATAAAACACATGACTAATTGAAATATGAGTATTATAAAATAAAAAAATGAAAAAGCAGGAACTTACATCTTCGAAAGAGGAAATGCTTCCCTCAGGAGCCTCGTGTTCGGAGGATGGATTCTTCTCGGGCGTCTTGATTACCTTGATGCCCGACATCGTGCCCTTGATAATAATGTTGTTAGCCTTGTAATAATCATCAGCCTCCTGATCGACAACGAGTAATTTTGTTTCATTGGGAAAAGCCTTAATGCGATCAACAACTTGTTTATGGGTTTCATTATCAATATTTATTTCGTTAACTTCGATAATGCGATCGCCTTGACGTAATCCAGCGGCTTGACTTGGTGAGCCATCATCAACTTTGCCAATAAATTGGCCCTCCTTGCCGCGCTCCGCGTGAAGATTAAAACCATAACCATCAAAGTCCTCCCACTTTACTATGTGGCAAAGTCGTGCACACGGTTGCTTATCGTTTTTCATCGACATCCTCACCTATTTTTATTATTATTATTATTATTATTATTAATATTGATAGTAATAGAAAATTTTATAAATCCGTCTACATAAATTATAAATAATTATTTAAAAACTGCACCCACCTCACTGTTTTTTTTTTATTTATTTTTTTTAAATAAAAAAAAAAAAAAAAACAAAAACAAAAAAGCGCGCGAATTCAACTGCACACTTTATTATTATTATTATTATTATTAATCCAAGTGCTTAACAAACGAAACTGAAATTAACAACCAGGTGAAACTAAAATCGAGACCTAAAATTTAGTAATATTTTACTTTTTATCTTCTTCTCTCAACATTCCTCAGTAAAATAATTTTTTTTCTATTAGTTTCCCACTGAACTTTTTTTTTTTTTTTCAAGTTCCAGACTCTTCTCAACATAAACTTTCTCTCTTGTTCTTCTTCTTACTCACTTTCGCAGTCTACCTGTCACACCGATCGCCGCCGGTTCTTCGACTATTTTTATTCTTCTTCACTTAAAAAGTTTAAAATAAAACAATAACTAAAAATCCTCGCCAAGGACGAACCGATTATGAGAATCCGAAGGCTTAAATTTTTAAAAAAGAAAAATAATAATAATAATAAATACGATATTTAGTATATAATGTAACAATAATTATATGGTTTAGTATCGACGGACATTCACCGAAGACACGACGAATGATCCATGCGAGGCAGTCGCTGACTCGTGACAAGGAGCAAAGAGAAGGCAAAGAAGGTAAGCTTGCCCCCCAAATGAAAAAGTTATATGAATTTAAAGGGTAGGGATGAATCTGTTGCGTTTTTAAAATCATCTTGGCTTATAATCGACAGTGGCGACATCATCAACGACATTGAGACACCTCCAGCAACCCAACACGTGACACATCACGGGTTAGTAAGCCAGCGCGGGAAATTTTGAATTTATAATATTGACAAGCTGTTGGCTTTTATTGCCGCTACTGTCGAGTATGCAGAATCATCAGGTACTTAAACGTTTCTTAATCTTACATGAAAATTAAGGGGGAACACCACTGTGACGATCGAAAAAAAGAGGTGATTTTCGGGAATTTTTTTGACAGGGAAAATAAAGGAATTTGGGGATCGGATTTTTTTTATTTTATTAAGGGTACATTAAAGATGATTACGCTAAATTTTTATTAAAAAATATTTAATTATTACAAAGTTATTAACAATCTCGTAGAGCACTAGAAAAAATTTTCCCCT